AATTTTTAAAAATCGTACATAAAATAAGTTAAATTTCATTATGATCTGATTTCATTATGATCTGCCACAATAATTGATTATTTTATTAACTTTCACGTATAGTATTTTCTACTCTTAAAGGATAACAAAATAAAACCCGTGTTATAAATCAATAAAATCTACTGCTTAAAAGCAAAATGCATAATAAAAAACATAACACGAATTTTACCTTAACGTAATACGTAGCACGGGTTTCACCCATTTCTACGTAATTTGCCAGCACGCGTGCCAAATTTGTGCTTTAGTGTAACGACAATATATTATCTCGAGTTTTAAAATCAGAACACGTGATGAAAAGAGAAAAAACGAAAACACTCGAAAATTGTTTAACCGACCAGTACTCTATTAAAAATGACGGGGATGAAATTTTACATGCAGTAATTGATAATTATTCCTAAAGCTAAAGTCTCAACCCTAAATTTCTACGCGTACTTTGTTTATTTAGATTAAATTTCCTTTCTGGGCTTGTATTACTCGTGACATTAATTTATGTCATTCTACATAGACAAGAATTTTTGATCCTGATCAATAACAAATATCGCTATGCCAAAACACTTTCGTGCAAAAGTTTCGGAGAGTAGAAGGGCGGCATTCACTTCCCCTGATGATGAATTGACCGAATTACAGTTTGGATTTTCTTGTACATCTCCAGAAGGGTCACCTGAAGGATTTAGCGCGTCATTTCAAAAGGCAATCGATGATGAAATATTATTTTGGACAATGTCAACTGCAAAAGCTTCCGACTTTACTGATTATTCATATAAATCGAATCCTACAACATTTTTAAGGACAAATTTTCCTGGCGACACATCATATGATCATATTTATAACACACCAGTACGAAATAGATCAATCTATACAACTTCACTTGGAAGCACTCCACTTGGAAGCACTCCACTTGGAAGCGCTCCACTTGGAAGCACTCCACTTGGAAGCACTCCCCTTGGAAGCACTCCCCTGAACACTTTTTCAGCCGATAGGGCCAGTTTATATAGAGATCGATCTAAATATATGATATCACCGTCGATTAGAAAATTTAATAGATTTAATGCAACACTCAATGATTGTAAACAGCAAAAAAGCAATAAAGACGTGATACTTATTCATACTTCTATGACAACTCCAGAAAGAAAAGTTCCATTCATTTCTCAGATTAAAGATGATGTTCTACAATCTAATTTAGATTCACCACTTTACGATGAATTAAATGATGAAGGATATTCACCATTATTAAGTTCACCCATAACAAGACATTCAATTCTCGATAATGACGTGTCGTTTTGGGCACCTACTGAGTCAATCAATGAAGAGTCTCATTCTAATATTGATATTGAGTCTCCAGTCTTGATATTAAAAAGACCAAATATCTCCACACCAGTTTTAATGGAAAAAATGGATAAGGATTTAAAACCTTTACCATCGATGATCAACGAGTATGCAACTAAATATGCACATATGCTCGATAAAGCTTATTTCCAGAAGCGCGGACATGAAAATAGAGGTATTTATTAAGCAAATTATTAAATCTACAGTCAGACCTTGATATAATCACTAGGTTGGGAATATGAAGATCAACATTTATGTTTTATAATAGCCAGAACTGAAAAATAGTGTAAATATAACAAGGCCTGACTGTATTTTCTTAAAACAAAAGCTCCTAATGCACGTTTTATTTATAGAGTTTAACCACCCAAAATCTTCCGAACTAAATGAAATGGATTATTTTAGTTCAAATTTCTATATGATTGCTGTTATCGGTTCCGGAGAATTCTCCGTTGCATATAAGGTGGAAGATAGGAAATCTGGAGTTTATTATGCCATTAAAAAGACAAAAAATCCATTCGTTTCTCGAAACTCTAGATTTCGCTCTTTGAATGAAGTTGAAATCATGTGGCGACTTGGATCACATCCAAACTGTGTCAAATTAGTTGCCGCCTGGGAACAACATGGTCACCTTTATCTCCAAACAGAATTATGTGATAACGGTACACTTTTGGACTTCATTAACAACAATATTCTCAGTGAATCTCAAATTTGGAAGATATTTATGGATATTGCTCTTGGCCTTAAACACATTCATGGGCACGACATTATGCATTTGGATTTAAAACCAGATAATATTTTTATGGCGTCAGACGGAACTTTCAAAATTGGAGACTTTGGCCTTGCGTCAACCTGGCCAGCAAGTCCTAATTTGGAGAGTGAAGGAGATCGGAGATATCTTGCTGCTGAGGTTTTGAATGGACGTTATGATAAACCTGCAGACATTTTTAGCCTTGGAATGGTCCTTTTGGAAATGGTTAGTAAAACGCCACTTCCACATTTTGGTAGAGATTGGAGGAGGTTGCGCCAAGGGGATTTGACTGGGGTCGTGTTTGGTGATATTTCAGATTCTATGATCTCTTTGATAAAGTCTATGCTCCAACGAGATCCAAACATGCGTCCCACAATTGAAGAAATTATTGTTTATAATAATGATAATTCAAAATTTCGGATGTCAACTCATTCATGTGTATAACATTATGTGCTTATCTATTTAATCATATAACAATAATATATAATATATATAATAATACATGCAGTTGAACCTCCAAAAATTGATTCATCTAGTCTATTTCTATTATAAACAGTGAATTTTTAAGTCTAAAGTTATACAAAATCTAGTGGGTATATCGAATATGGGAAATCTTTTTAAATTCTATATACCAAGAGTTTCAGTTTTGGGAAGTTCAACTGTTTATGTATAATGCAAAGCTTCATTTTAAGCATTCTAACAAAGTGTACTTGTCTACAGCCAGAATGAATATAAAACATCTATGGACATGTACAAAAGCACGTGTAATTAATTTTACCCTAGAGTCACCAATTCAAGATTAGATGTAACTAGTGTTCCGCAAAACGAATCTGTAATTCTTGAATCTTGCGAATTCGAATCTAAATGAGGATTCGTTTGAATGGTATTCGATCCAGATCTGTTATTACTAAAGATACTGATGAAACGAATTGGTGACATTTAGTGAAATTAATTTAACCAGCATTTCTAGTTATTACCGAAATCCAGACTATCAAAAGCTTATACAACATAATGACCCTTTTTTGGACGAGTTTATTTTATTAAGTAAACCAGCACAAATATGGTTTCGGATCCTAGTTTAGATAGATTCGTCCGATTTGATCGGTGCGGAACATTCATTTAGTATGAAATTACTCCCAAACTCTAACACCGGTAGTGAAACTTTTTTAGATAAAGAAATTTTGTTCAATAGGCCAATTAAAAAATTTATAGAAGTAATAAAAATAATGGCTAGATACATGAATTCAATTAATATTCATATATATATATATATATATATATATATATATATATGAATATATATAGTAGGTTTTATAAAAGTAAAATTCTGATTAATTAGAAGATGTTCGAAACCAGGCGCTAAAACCAGACTCTAAACTAAGCAAGTGTTAGGTTTTAACTTATTACGGTTCGAAGGTTCATAAAATATAACGTTAAATTCCTAAAACCAAAACTGAACCTAAACTAACTTTACCATCCCTAGTTTGAAGACTAGTAACAATAATATAATATATATAGTATAATTTAATGCAGTTTATAATAATTTGAAGCAAACTTAGTTCATGTCAGACAGATTCTGATTCACTATATATATATATGTGTATATATATGATATAGGTATCATCTTTTGATTGACAAGAACGATCTATAAGTCTATAACTAGTATACAAAATTGAAATTGTGTCTTCAACAAAAAAAAAAAAAAAAAAGAAAAAAAGAAAAAAAGGTTTATATATTAATTACATTTAAGAAAAACTAATAATACAGATATCAATCATATTTGTTTAAAAATAATTACGAATATACCAAAATCTATGACTTATAAGAGAGATATTGTTAAAGTTTCAAAATTGCCCGTGGTAGCATTACTTGGTAGTAGTAGACCTTTTCTTCTATAATGGAGAAAATAGAATTCGGTTTAAATGCAATTAGATGACTTATATGATTTTATTAACAATTGTTGAATCTTTGTACAGCAAATGCAAATATTATGTATTCTTCACTAATACTGATTGTATGCACTAACCTATAGGTTTTATAGCAAAAGAGAAAATATACAAACTGGGGGTCAGCTTCAATCGACTATTTTAAAAATCGAGAATGCAAGTAGCAAGAAGATAAGAATGGCTTCATCGGTAATTAAACAATTGTTTTTCATCAACACAAGACTCTTTCCATTACCCGAACCATTACCCTGCGTATTCTCCTGAGTTGGAGTTGAATATTCACCACTTTCCATCCGACGCCCGTTAACACGATTAACTGATGCACTATTTTGTAGTTGCGTAAGCTCTGCTCGACGTAACATTTCTTTTTGATTGGCAATAATCAATTTGTTAGCTTTGAGTTCTTCCTCTAGCTCTTTGATAATGTTACGTTGCCTTTGTATTGTCTTGCTCAACTCATTGTATCCTCTACTCCCACTATGTGAATTACCGTTGGCTTTTACATCATTTTCGTATATACTAATCTTCCCTAATTGCTCTTCAGCAGCAATTTTCAACTCGCGATTTTCATCACGAAGGCTTTGTAATTCGTCATCTCTTGCCTTTAATCCATCATTTAATTCTCTTATTGATTGTTCAGCAGTTTTCAATTTCACATTCAATTCGTTAATCATCCTATCCTTGCCCTCAACATCAGATTTAAGTAGGTTGATTGTCACATTCTTTGCTTCAAGTTGACTCTCGAGTTGAACAAATTCACTAACCTATATCGTGAAATAGCATAGCAAGTGAACAATAAATACGTAAATTGATAAAAGAGATAAAATGGAATAAACAGGTCAAATAGGCTTAAATAGCCGTGACAAACCTGTCCAACGTTATTAGTATTATTATTAGTATTAATATAAGTATTAGTATTTTCGATCATGGGTTTGCGTGTCGTAAATTGTTGTTGTTGTTGTTGTTGCGCATTGCCCGAGAAAGATGAATTTGTTAAGATTAATTTGGTAAGATGGTCAATTCTTTCTTTAAGAGCTGTTCGAACTAATTGTGCTTCCATCATTTCTTCTTCATGCTATCAAATTGTATGAGTCGATAAATAATTTTTTTTTTTTTTTTTTATCTATAATAAACATTATATCAAAAATTGAATGTATGTACTTTGGCCTTTTCTTGTTGCAACATTTGAGATAACTCAGACTCTTTCTCCTTAGAGTTTGCTTCATTAGTTCTTTCAAGTTTAGCTTTAAGCTCCTCAATTTCAATACGATATTTCTGCAATAGAGCTTTATCATCCATTACCTAAGTTTGTACAAATTTAATTAATAAAATGAAATTTAAAAAGAAATTAAAATTTGATTTAATGTCAGCATACCGCATTTGTATGTGCTCTAGTAACCACTTTTTTTATTCTGGACGCGAATTTTAAGGTGTTCTGAGACTCTTCATGATTTAGCGCAGAAGGAGATATAGTACAAATTACCGAAACTCGAGCATTCCCACTGAGAGAATTCTGAAGAATTCGAGTCAATTTGGAATCACGAAATGGGACATGACCACTACCAAAAAACACATATTAAAAAGGGAATATGAAAAATCTAATACATCTCTCCGACTTGATGAATGTTTACCCAGAGTTATCCGTTAATTTTGAGATCACAGTACCAAGTGTCAAAAGACTTAATAAAATAAAGATATATTTAATTTTTAAAATTAGTGAGAAATAGCAAATTTATCAGTAAGGGCAAACCTTTTATTAATATAAGCGCCTTCTTTTCGACGATCAGCCGAAGAAGCAGCTTTTTCAGAACCAGCTAAATCTATTAAATTCTAATATAAATTAAAATCTAATTAGATAATGAACATACATTATCAAAGATGTACCAGACATTTGAGCATTTAAAGCTTTTACCAAAACAGATAACGAAACAGAAGCAGATGCTTTTTGTCCTGCAGTAGAATAACGATTTGGTCTAGGTGGCAATGAACCTTTAGCAGTACTTTCGACTACCTGTTAAATGAATAAATACGGTACTATAGATTAAAAACGAATATAGTTGAGTTGTAAGTTATAGACAAATATGAAACATACCATCTGAAAAATAGTATGAGACCGACTACTTCTTTCATTCCAATCAGTTGCGCTCATATGACGATTAGCTAAATTTAATATTTTCCAGCAGTTTATAACTTTATATTATGACTTAAGCATGATAATAATTAATTATTGATTCACAAACCTTCTCCTTTTGCAATTTCTTTCATAACTTGTTTAGGTGTCGATACCACGACTTCTTTTAGAGGACTTACATATACACCACGCTGATATGAAATGATATGAATAAATGACATTAAATGATATTAAATGATATTAAATGATATTAAATGAGAGTTTAAAAAAAAAAAAAACGTTTAAAATATATATATATATAATAAAATGATACAAACGCGTTTGTCTTCGTGAATCCGTAAATCATCAGTTTCGGGACATAACAAATCGCGTACGGTTTCATTATATATCTCCATATAAGAAACTCGAAGTAAAAATTCTCTCTCTTTACACTAAATATAATATTGCAAACCTTATAATTTACTATAAACATATCAAGAAGATCTATAAGTAAAACACAAAAGACATCACTTACCTCCTTGATGTATTCAAATACGGTATCGACAGCTTGCGGAATAACACCTGGTCGTGACTCCGTACCTATGCAGGATTTTCAAGCGAATTAATAAATTGAAAATAAGTGCATAAAATAATAATAATAATAATAATAATAATAATAATAATAATAATAATAATAATAATAATAATAATAATAATAATA